GGTCTGGTATTTTTTCAAATCAAAAAGTCTATTATTAGCTTACTACCAATTCATATATTAAGGATTAAATATAGAAGTGTGTGTTGCCAATGATCTTCTCAGTTTTGTGTGAAATGAGTTCAAGATCACATTTCTCATATCATTGGAATGTAATAACCAACCAACGCGCGCGGCGCGTGTCTGTTGACTCATTTAGAGAGAGGTTATTAAGTTGTAAAGTATATTATGGTACATGTGAGCGCTTTTAAGTACCTAATAATTCATAAGTTTAGCAATCGATGTATATCTGTGATATTACTATGTGCAATGGCAAACAGTCACTAAAACCACACACAAGCGTCTGTACAGTTAACTCAACAAAAACTAAAACTCTACCACAATTTTTTTATGAAAGGGGGACAACTATCACGCAACATGCGATCGATTGAAACAAATGAAATTTAAATAAAGTTTTAATTACCTTAAAGTTAACAATTCTTAACATCCAGTCAACTGTAATTCACTTTAACAAACGCACAAACTCAAAACACCAGGTGAGATTGCTTCGGAAACTTCACTTCTTTACGCTTGCTTTATTAATATTTATTTATTTATTATCCCTCTCTTGTTCTGGGCCCTCAACAGGCTTGCTCCCAATTACAGAGTGATACTTTTTAGAGGTGCCTTCAATTCATTTCAAGAACACTGACTTGGGTGTAATAATAGACGTGTTTTTTTTATGGTGGGAAAAACTTCACTTAATAGGGTAATTTAGAAAACCTTAAAGAAATTCCTTATGTGATAACTGCTCGATAGACAGAAACTCAGACTACTTTTCGGTATACGTGAACAACGCTTCAGCTTAACATTCACTTTTAAACGGCGTATTAGTAAAATCTCTTAGAGCACACACCGAACTTTCTTTTATTGCAACTTTACAATCACCAAGACTACACTAAAAGTGCGCCCACCAAAGAAATCCGTTTAAGCCCGCTTGACATGGAGCAATAAAAATTGCAATTGCATGCAAGTTGCAAGAAAAATTGCGAAAGGCATGCGCAGTTCAAAGCCAGCTGATCAATTGCTGCAAGAGACTTGCGTGCAATTTTTATAGGACCGGTGCTATTTTTCTTGCATTAATCGCGCAATTCTAGGGATAAATCTAGTTGTTTTTGTGTCACCAACCTAGTAAAATACAGGGGCGGCAACTATGATGCTGAGAGCCGCACTCATTACTTGTTTTTTATTAATCTGATTTATTCTTGTAATTTTCATGTTTCTTCAAGCAATCAAAATTCAATTTTTATTTAAGGTTAGCAGATTTGATGACAAGTCCATATTTTCTTCTGTTGGCAGACATGTGGCAATTGAAATAGAATTGCACCATGTCAAATACCATGCAATGCTTATTGCATGCAAGGATTTGACCTTGCAATTTCTTTCTGCAAGTTCTTGCGCGTTGTATTGCTCCATGTCAAGCGGCCTTTAACGTCGTCTTTTCCCTTTTAAAAAATTCTTCCATTCCTTTCGTTCCTACTTCTTTATGAAAATACTATGCCGTGTGTAATAAATTCGCACCTATGTTTACTTTGCTCTCACAAAACATCTGCTTATCTATAACTTAAATGGCTTTTCGTAGCGAGAACTCTCTATTGCACTGACCGGAGATAAAGTTTTGTAATAACGCAATACAATTATTTCTAGATGTCTCTAATTTTTTTAACACGTTAATTCTGAACAATGAAATAAACGAAATACAAGATAATTATTTTAGAGATAAATTGCTCCATTTTATATTGTTGGGACTCGAAGGTGGTAGATGGTAGATAAAAAACAACAATAAGTCGTAACTAAGTTTTCTATCGTCGAAATCGATCGCCAATAGGAAACTTACTTACGACTTATTGTTGTTTTTTATCTACCATATACTATCAAGAAGATAATTATTTCAACCAAATTAAACGTGTCCATTTAGATAACTAGAGAGAAGATTTCGTTTTAGCATTCGCTCCCAGCGACCAATTATACCCCCTTGACTCATAAAAATTAATAAGTATGAATGTTTATCTGATCTGTTGAGTCACCTTTGGAATTTATGTTTTCATAGGAAATCGTACTTAACTTGAATTTCTAAGGGCGACTCGACAGCAACTCATTCTTAATCGCCCGTTATTACGTCCTTCAAAAAATCATTCTTTTTTGTAACTCTTTGCTGTTTGTTGTTTATTTGTTATGTGTTCTTTTATGTTTGCTAGTTCAATGACAGGCTAATTGCATTTGACTGAAACAAGTGACGTTCTATCGTGTACCTTACACTCCAAATCACATTTCATTATTTTGCAATTTTTTGCAGGTCACATTAACGATCTACGAGAATATGAAACGAGACGTCAACGTCATAATGTTCCCACTATGATTGCAATAGATGGATTACATAAGTTATACAGTACTGATTTCCTTCCCGTCGTACTACTCCGGAGTCTTGGTTTGCAGTTCACAAATGCCATCAACCCTCTTAAGGTGAGTTATTATATTAGTATTACTGTTATACCTACATCGAGACCTACATTATACAGTCCCAAAATTAGCTAGTGCCACTGCAGCACAGGGCCAGTTGCCACAGGCGAAACCTTTTGGGTGGGCGCACAATTTGAGTTGAGATTTTAATTTTATTCGAAAAGTGAAAAAATAAACAGTACTTTCAGCAAATCGCGTTACCTTAGAAACACTGGCCTTAAATTTACTTTTATTCCAAGTGCTTAAGTATTAAATTTCCTTTAAATGCTTCTATAAATAAGGAAGTTCTCACTGCACATGCGCAAAACCAAATTTTGAAACTGGCCTTACATTTACTGTTATTCCAACTGTCTATGTTTCAAATTTTATTTAAATGCTCCTATAAATAAGAAAGTTGGCACTGCGCATGCGCAAAACCAAACTTTGAAACTGCCTTTACATTTGCTTTTATTTCAAGTGTGTAAGTTTCAAATTTTATTTAGATGCTTTCGTATATAAGAAAGTTATCACTGCGCATGCGCAAAACCAAATTTTGTAAAATGGCGTTAAATTTGTTTTTATTCCAAGTGTGTAAGTTTCAAATTTTATTTAAATGCTGTCGATAATAAGAGAGTTACCTCGCGCATGCGCAAAACCAGATTTTCAATATCGCTTTAGATTAGCTTTTTTACCAAGTACCTATATATTAAATTTTATTTAAATGCTTCTCTAAATAAGATAGTTTTCACTGCGCATGCGCAAAACCAAATTTTGAAACTGACCTTACATTTGCTTTTCTTCCAAGAGTTTAAGTTTCAAATTTCATTTAAATCCTGTCGATAATAAGAGAGTTGCCTCGCGCATCCGCAAAATCAGATTTTCAAACTGGCGTTAAATTAGCTTTTTTACCAAGTACCTATATATCAAATTGTATTTAAATGCTTCTCTAAATAAGAAAGTTGACATCGCGCATGCGCAAAACCAAATTTTGAAACTGGTCTTACATTTGCTTTTATTCCAAGAGTCTAAGTTTCAATCGTTAATAAAGGAGTTGCATGCGCAAAACCAGATTTTAAAGCATTATGCGGGTCACTCTGTAATTGGGCGTAAACCTGTTGAGGGCCTAGAGGCTAGAACAAGAGGGACAATAAATAAAAAAATTAAAAAATTTTGAAACTGGCGTGAGATTAGCCTATAGTAATATACAGTAAGTATAGTAATAAGGAAGTTGACATCGCGGAAGCGCAAAACCAAATTTTGATACTGGCTCTACATTTGCTTTTATTCCAATTGTCTAAGAGTACGTTTATGTTGGAGCTACGATAGCAGCCACGATACTAGCGAAGCAAAGAAAATCATATCATTGTTTTATATGCAGTCGTTTATATTGAAGCTTTTATCATTGATGGTTGCCAAGCGTATCTCAACGCGGCATTCCAATATAAACACCTGCATATAAAATATCAATAACATCATTTTCTTTGCTAGTAATCGCTAGTATCGTCGGCCTTATCGTTTATATCAGTTCCAACATAAACGTACCCTAAGTTTCAAATTTCATTTAAATGCTTCTATAAGTTAGCAAGTTGGACCTGCGCATGCGCAAAACCAAAGTTTGAAACTGGCGTTAGATTTGCTTTTATTCCAAATGCCCAAATATCAAATTTCATTTAAATGCTTTCGAAAATAAGAAAGTTGGCAGTGCGCATGCGCAAAATTTTGAAATTGGCTCTTTACAGCCGTTTCCACCGACAAATTTAAGTAGGTCTTAGCTTAAGCGTAGCTTAAAAGCTATGGCAACGATTATTGAGGCAATGGTTGCCATGGATTTTAAGCTAAGCTCTACTTAAATTTTTCGGTGCAAACGACCTGTACTATATGGTTTAAGAATTGGCTTTACATTTGCTTTTATTCCTACGTATCAAACTTCATTTAAATGCTTCAATAAATAAGATAGTTGGCACTGCGCATGCGGAAAACCAAGTTTTAAAACTGGCGCTAGATTTTATTTATGTACCAGTATTTATTTATTAGTTCCTCTCTTGTTTCTGGGCTCCCAACAGGCTTTCGCCCAATGATAGAGTGACTCGCATAATGCTTTTCGTAAAAATTTGCTTTTATTGCTAGTACCTACGTATCAAATTTTATTTAAATTCCTTCATAAATAAAAAATTTTGCAATTCGGTTCATAAATGATCGAGATGCGAAAAGGGCACTGTTAATCTTGAATCGATTAGACGCAACTTTTGGCATTACGTATTATGTGGCTACTTGTCAAAGTAAAAGGTGTCCCCAACTTAAAACACTTGGCTATACTTTGAAGACGCAGCCTACCCACCAAGATAAACGGCAGAAAAAAATTACCATGTCAATCAGCGCATTATTATTTCACATAATCTTCATTTTATAACGGATAGCATCAAACTTCCCTTCCGGCCTTTCGCAGATTAGCCGTAACGCTTAATACTGCCTTCCGCGGAACAATCTGCGTGTTCCCCAATGCGAGTATGATTTGTTCGACTTCGGTCAGCTTCGCCATATGCGTTTAACTTGTTTTGTATACCGAGGTTGACGCCCCCCGGCCCCCAGTCCGTTGATTGTCTGTGTACGAGCACATACTACGTTTTCTTTTTATCTTTGTGTAAAGCTTGTGTTTTTTTCTTGTTTTTCGCGCGTGTATATTATTGTCTAACCCAAGTGACTGATAAAAATGGAGCCACCGAAAGTGTATTCTGTGCAGAATCTTTTAAAAGCACCGCTATCTTTTGATGAGAAACTTTTAGTTAAGAAGGGAGGAAGACCTATTCCCGATCTTCAAATTAGCTCCACGTCTGCAAGCAAAACCCGAACTTACAGACGAGTATTCAACAGGAATATCTATGAAAAGTACGAGTGGATGTGCGGATGTTCGGTAACAAATAAACTCTTCTGTTTTATGTGCTTAATTTTTAAGGAAGAAGTTAGTGCGTGGAATACTAAAGGATTGGATGATTTAAAACACATGGCGGAGAGGGCGAAGAAACACGAAAATTCCGTTTCTCACATGAACGCATGCATGGATTTTAGTTTGTTAGGCAAAGGGAACATACGTGAACAATTGGGCAGTGCTTATTTGCGGGATAAAATTAAACACAACGAAAATGTGGAAAAAAATCGACATATTTTGCGCCGATTAATTATGTGTATAAAATTTTGCGGTGCCTTTGAATTGGCGTTACGACGTCTTGATGAAACATTGACGTCTGATAATCCTGGGATCTATGTAGGCTTAGTCAACTTTGCATCGGAATTAGATGCCGTGCTGGCAGCAAATATGGAAGGTTCGCAGGTTTTTAAAGGCGCCTCGAAAACTATAAAAAACGAATTGTTAGATGCAATGTTGCACGTTTATAAGCAGGAAGTCTTAAAAGAAATCCAATCTGCAAATTTCATTGCTTTGGAGGCCGATGAAACAACAGACACCTCTAATCCACAGCAAATGGTTGTTATAATTCGTTATGTCCTTAACGGACAGATTTGTGAACGATTTTGGTCTTTTTTTAAACCGGGGGGACATAACGCCGGTATAGTAGCAAACACGTTGCTGAATGAATTAGAAACTATTTTAAATTTAAATTATCCCGCGTCTGATAACAATACATCGGCCAATAAAAATAAATTAATCGCCCAAACTTATGACGGGGCGTCCGTTATGAGTGGCAAAATAAATGGTGTCCAAGCGATTATTAAAAGAACGTTTCTGCATGCACATTATATTCATTCTTACGCGCACCAATTTAATTTAATTATTGAACGAGCGGCACAGTGTAATAAAAATGTAAAAGTTTTCTTTGCAAATTTGCAATCATTTTCAAGATTTTTTTCTCGAACACCAAAACGAACAGCAATTGTTGATGAAATAGTCCAACACGCGCCTACACGCGGTAATTTTAAAAGTCGAACTGTGAACGCATTATTTGAGCATCAGCATTCTTTCAGAGAATGGCTAGACAAAATAATTGACGAAGATGGGACGGATTCAGTGACTATTAGTGAAGCAAGTGGTTTGTTGAACCATTTGAATTGCCCAGATTTTCTCTACTGGTTAAAAATATTTCATTTCATCATGCCACACGCTGAAATATTATTCAATCATACTGAAATACGTGGGATTGAAAGTGCTCAAATGCAAGCGGCAGTTGAAGAATTTCAAGAGCAAATTATGCTAATTAGAAAGGCTATTGTCAATATAAATCATGAACGCATTAATGAAGAACCTACTATGAAAAGACAGAAACTAACAGCTGGAGAAGACAGAGCTGATATTGCTAGGGAAGTGTGTGACACAATTTTAAGCCAAATTGTCGACCGATTTGACTTCAAGGATCACTTAAGTGCCGCAAAATTATTTGATTCCAAAAAGTTTAAAACTTACAGACGTTCATTTCCCCAAAGACATTTTGATGAAACTGTGAAATCTTATCCCATGTTGGACAGTGTAAAATTAAAAAGTGAACTTTCAGCACTGTATGCACGTGATAACATGTGCGACGTAAGTGGTCTTTTGCCATTTTTAGTGTTCATAACAGACAACGATCTAAAAAAAGTTATGACAGAAACATACAAACTGTTGGATATTATTTGTACAACGCCCATGCCGACTACCGAATGTGAACGGTGTCCTTCAACCCTAAAACGCATTAAAACTTTCCTGAACAATGTCACAATATCAGAAGATCGACTAAACGCATTGGCTGTCCTTTCGATAGAAAAAAAGTTCGTCCAGTCGATCCCGGATTTCGATAATAAAGTCATTGAGGTCTTTTCCCGATTGAATAATAGGAGAATGGATTTTATGTATAAAAAGTAGCAGGTAAGATTTTACTTGTGCCCATCCTCTTTCAGAACCCACGAGCCCCCAAAGCTACTCAAGTAGCACAAGTACGTTACTTTGGCACATTTTACCGAACGTCCCTCTTTCTCGAAAGTTTCCGAACACTTCCGAGTGTTCTAGAATGTTCCTGGACAAACACGTCATATTTCCCAGAAAAAAATGGGTCACATTCGTTTTCGTTTCTTATCGCCGATGACTAATCTTTTATGGCCCTTCGATGTCTACCGGGACTTCTAGAAAATTCCCTACGTTATGTATATAAAATAAACCGATACAACGAAATATCGAAGGATCCTCAGTATTACAATCACTTTTAACGACAATTTATTTTAATCTTACAAAATACATTTTATAGTTAACAAAAATGCATCAAATTCATGTCTTGGGCTTTGAGATAATGCTCTTGGTTTTTTTCCCAACGATCTTGGTGCATAAATAACGATTTTGACATGTTTTGATCAAAATCCATGTGGTCCATAAAAATAGATCAAATTCATGTTTAGATCATTGAGATAATGCTCTTGATCTTTTTCCCAACGATCTTGGTGCACAAATAACGATTTTGACATGTTTTGATCAAAATCCACGTTTTCGCCAAAAATTCATCAAATTCATGTCTTGGGCATTGAGATAATGCGCGTAACGCTCTTGGTGCATTTTTTGACATGTTTTGATCAAAATCCACGTGGTGCATCAAATTCATGTCTTGGGCATTGAGATAATGCAGTCTTTTCCCAACGATCTTGGTGCATACGATTTTGACATATCGATGCAAAATGATTGAGATAATGCGCGTAGTCTTTTTCCCAACGATCTTGGTGCATAATTAACGATTTTGACATATTTTGATCAAAATCCATGTGGCCTCAGAAAAATAATTTAACATTTTTGAATCACACACATGCGGTTATCAAACGTGCACGTTATCAACTCTTTCAGCATCAAGATAATGCGTTTGAAAGCTTTTACAACTCTAAATTCATGTGTAAAGAATAATTTTGGGTACATTTTGCTCTAAAACTTTTGACCGAGACCACAGAGAAGAGTTATATTGAATTGTTACACATCTAAGAGTCATAGGGAATAATCTAGCGAAAGTCCGAACTCGATACATGACCTAGGGAATGAAATATGTTAATTTTTATTATATTGAGTTCGCAGTTTTTCCTGTTCCCGATTCACTCGAAGTCGTATAACTTTTGTTCCTGTTGAACCAGCTTCCTGAAAATCAATAGCGTCCGTTCTTAATGTCCAACGTACCCGTATACCAAATTTCAACACAATCGGCCACTTTTAAAAAGAGTTAGAGCGCACACGGACGGACGGACGGACGGACGACAATACAAAACTATAAAGGATCTGAGGATCCTTAATAAATATACTTACTTGTGTGTTCGAAAGTATTAATGGACCATTTTCCAGACAATACTTTTAGCGGTGATATCTAAGTAGAGGGTGTTCCACTTTCAACAACGACTTGCTTAATGCGTGTTACTTAGACAATAGTGTGATAATTGTTACAACACAATTGTTATGACTCATTATTGACGTCATCTGAATTAACCACACTTTCATCCAATAGATATGCTTTGGGCAGATGTTCGAATAGCCCTTTGTGAGTACCCTCCTCTGACATTCCATTCTCGAGGAATTCGCACTTACATATAGTTTTGCCATCAGCAATAGATATGACTCGTCCAGATGACCCTTTTTGCCTTTGTGTGTAATCTCGTCCGACACTCTGTTCTCGAGATATGACGAAGTATAACCATTGAATTTATACTATAAATTCAATGGCATAACTTAGCTCGAAAATTCCTGTTAATGAGACTGTTGATGAAATACTATGAATGATAATACCAGTTTATTACTTTTAAACCCCCCCCCCCCCAATTTACAATAAGGTAGGGAATTGTAACTTTAACCAATCCCCTTCAGAATGGCCCTATACTTTCTTTGTTAAAAGAGAGTTAGAAAAGAGTTGATTACAAAAGTTTCAGAAAAATGATTATTTAATAATAATAATAATAAAATAATAATAATAATATATTTGCTGTCAGGAGATCAATAACATTGATATTGACCTCGATATTGACAAAGTCACATTAACATGATGATATATAAAACACAAACACCGAGGTAAACTCACAACTAAACAATCAAATCTCTCACTTTATATAGCGCTTTCTCCAGTAAAAATGCTTATGCTTAATTTTTGTTTGTTTGTGGTGGTAATCGGCCGTTTTCAAAATAAATCTACGCCTACCCTTAATTTGTTAACACCCTGTATATTTTAATCCAAAAAATATTATCTTTAACAAAATTCAAAAGTCAGTTTGGAATTTCTATTTTGGAAACGACAGATTTAACAGTAATTACAAAGAAATTTTGTAATGAACATTTTTCTGTATCTCTTTTAACTAAGAAAATATAGGGTCATTTTGTAAATAATTTTTTCCCCGTATCTTGTAAACGAGTGAAAATTTTCAAATTTTGATTTTACTTCTTCGATAGGATTAACAGCTACGGAGATACCCTATAAAAGTGTTGAAGTGTTTGTACACTACAGTGTTTTGCAGGTTGTATAGGATTTTCTATTTAAAAGACGCAATTTTTTGCGAAGGTACCCACCCTGAAAAGAAACCTTGACGTAATGGTATACACTCACTTCGAACAAAATGGTTACACAAGGTCGCTATTAAAGATGGAACCAATGCTCTGACGCTGAAACCGTCTGATATATACACATGAAAATTAGAACACTTCCATTTGAAATTATCTTACATATTTTGAGATTAAAAGGGTTTTTTGACACATGGGCCCTTATGATTAAAAGGGAGCATATGCATACTTGCAAAATTCAAAGTAAATACTCGTAAGTGCTCCTTCACACTGGGCGACTTAGCAGCGCTGCTGAGCAGCAGGACAGGACGCAGTGCAGTGCTGCTAAACAGACCAGTAATAAGGGGCACTTACGAGTATTTACCTTGAATTTTGCAAGCATAAGCATATGCTCCCTTTTATTCATACGGGCCATGGTTTTAGAGTGTGACCGCCATCTTCAACTTCATTAGAAAGTACATTTTTTTCTCTCTTATTATTACTTTACTCATAAATTATGTTAAATTAGAAATTATTGAAAATTGAACATTATTTCTCACGTAATACAATAGTCTCGACAATAGTTGTTCTGTGTTATCAAGTGTTGTCAATTATTAAATACTTGATCATTCCTTTTTTGCGAGCTTTTTTGTTAATTTTTGACGTTCTGTTCAAAATCTGTCAATAATGTCTTGCAGAGCTCAGAAAGTGATAATGAAAGTGTTTTTTATTTTTCTGTATCTGTTCAAATAACATCAGAAAAAAATAGAAACGAGATCGGCAAATTTCGGTTTTTGTAGCATATCTTCGGAACCAATCGTAATTCTGGTTTTCTTTGTAGCTGATAATATTAATAACCGTTTAATTGGGCAATTTTTTTCTAATTTAACCCTCGCCGTATGGTTTTGGAGATCTCCATGATAGAAATCCTGATCTTGAACACTTATCTTGTTTGTACAAATATTTCTAAATTCAAAAAGGCCTCTACCGTGAACATAAATCCACAATAGAGGCACAAGTAGAACAAAAAAAAATTGGTTCTTTTTTGGTCTTAAGGGAAGAGCGGACAAGCAAACGGACCATATTACAACGAAAATTAAAACTACATTTGAAGGATATACAGTGAGTTTTTTTTAATGCGAACATACGCTTTTGTATGCAATGTAATTTCCCTATGTTCAATTTAAAAAAAAACACATCAATCTATGTAGTGTGCGCGGTTCACATTCCCACCAACAAAACGCGTAACTTGCGTGACTATGAACAACAACGGTTTCTATAGTCTTCATGATTAGGAGCACTTGATAAGATTTTTTTTAAAGAAGCCATGTGAGGCCATAGTAACTAGGATAATTTTTTCTTAAACTTACGATTCCTTGACCTCACAGGGCGCGAGCTGTCACCACAATTCATTGTGAACCAACCTTCAATTATTTGTAGGTGGTCATGTGCACCTGGTATTCTACTCATTTGATCTATTCAATACATAAATGAAGAAAATAAGAAAATAAATAACGATAACAACTACAATAAATGTTCAAAGTGCCCTCCTTGACATTCTAAGCAATCACCTAATCAATTTTTAAATTAAATTGGACGGCGATATTTTTAAAAATATGACAGCTGTCAATTGTATCTACTATTTGAACTACTCAATAGATTGATGTGTTTTTTAAAAATCGAACATAGGGAAATTACATTGCTTGCAAACTCCTATGTTCGCATTTAAAAAAAATTCATTGTATTTACGTATTACAATGCTGTATACGACCTTCGTGTATTTGGTATTTCTTGTTTTCTTTAATTTCTTGATATACATTTTTATATCGCAAATGAATTGAAATATAGTCGATTAATAACAATTATCATTGATTATAAGAAACTTAACCTAACCGTTATAAATAAATAAATAAATAAACCACTGCGATTCCACTTTGAGTTTTTTCATGCGCCCGTAAAATTGGAACAGGAAAGTTGTGGGATTTTAGTGGGACGACTCGGGGACGATTGTTGTGTAACTTAGACAAGACCGAGAAAATCAAATAATCAATAATAATAATAATAATAATAATAATAATACCTTTAGTGCCTGAATACACTATGCGTTTTAAACGCATCCCTCGACACATCCTTTCAAAACGCATCCTGCGAAACCGGAAGGTTGTGTGCGTTTACATTACTTGCGGCGAGCGGAACGCAACCGGATAAGTATAAACGCTCGCATTTAAATCCATTGGATGCAGTCATCCGTTCAAAACGGTCCGGTCAAACGGGACCGGTTAAAACGCATAGTGTATTCAGGCACTTATTTGGTTACATACAGTGAATTTTTTTTAAATGCGAACATAGGAGTTTGCATGCGATGTAATTTCCCTATGTTCGATTTAAAAAAGAAACACATCAATCTATTGAATAGTTCAAATGAGTAGTAGATACAATTGACAGCTGTCACATTTTTAAAAATACCGCCGTCCAATTTAATTACGAAATCGGTTAGGTTATTGCTTAGAATGTCAAGGAGGACACTTCGCACATTTATTGTAATTGTTTTCGATATTTATTTTCTTATTTTCTTCATTTATGTATTGAATAGATCAAATTAGTAGAATACCAGGTGCACATGACCTACAAATAATTGAAGGTTGGTTCACAATGAGTTGTGGTGTCAGTGCGTGGCGTGTGAGGTCAAGATATCGTAAGTTTAAGAAAAATGTATCCTAAAGTTGCCATGGGCTCACAGGGCTTCTTTAAAAAAATCTTACCGAGTGCTCTTCATCATAAAGACTATAGAGTTGCTGTTAATAGTCACACAAGTTGCGCGATTTGGGAATGTGAACCGCGCACACCCCATAGATTGATGTGTTTTTTTAAAAATCGAACATAGGGAAATTACATTGTATGCAAACTCCTATGTTCGCATTTTAAAAAAATTCACTGTATATTACACCCATATTATCAATTCAGTATAAACACAAATAATTACAAGTGAGTACATTGCGAGAGCAATAGTAACTAAAAGGGCAAAGTTCAGATAGTAGTTGCCCAAACTCCTACTTCTGCTCTTCCACCTCGTCTTCCACTTAACCCATTTTACATAAATATATATTTAAAGAACGAAAGACATTAAGCTTGACAGAATACCGATACAGAATTTAGCTAGCGTGTGGTCGCAGTTATATAAATATAAAAGCAGTTTTAGTATGTAATGCTCGATGTAATGTATTCACTTTGCTTCAAATATTTGCTATTTTTTCATGCAATTCCTCTTGTATATGTAATATTAGAAATACAAATACTATATACTACCGCCCCTTACATTTATGACATAGCATAGTGTATTATAGGTACCATATGGATTTACACATTATACTCGCTGTATGAAGATATTGGGGCGTATGCTGTTCTATGGACTATGCGTCGCATAATTCCATGTAGGTCATGATGTATCGATTGGCGACCGTCATGACGTCAAAGGAAATTTTACAAAGATAGTAGATAAGATAGATTATCAGTCTTTTTTTTACTGATATTCCTTACGTTATACCACTTTTCTTCCAATAATGAGTTAATGATGTAAAACAACCGTACATTCTCATTAAAAATGCCGGGTTTGAATGTTATTTTTGAAGCGTTTTGAGTTTGCCACTTGAAATTCAGAAGGATAAAATTGAAAAGAATACTTGGTGCAACTGTATACCTAAGCGTTACTAGGGAAGCTTATTTAAGGATTGTACTCCTACTTAAATTCTGTTGCTAATAAACTACCTCCCCTTGTTGTTCGATTGTATAAAATTAAATCATGCAAAATTGTCATAAGCGAATGGGAGTATGGTCGTTTGTATCTTCTAAATCGTTTTCTTCCGGTCAGAATCTCCCTGTACGTGTTATGCCATCGAGTGTATCTTGCAACCCTGACACAAAAAACTACAAACTCAGAGGGCCATCTATAAAAGCGTGAGAACGAAAACTTCTTCCTTGCCCTAATTCTTTTAAATGCTATGCTAGAAGGTAGAACCGTTAGTAATTCATAATGAAAATGGAGAACGGGTTCTTAACCCCTTCATTTTTTTTAAACGGCTAGAAAAGAAAGCTTAATTCAAAAACCATTCTCTTTAAATATTTATTTGCTTCTCATACTTACACGACCTATTGTTGCATTAAACAAGAAATCGATAATAGAGAATGCAATTCCCTTTGTTCATGTTCTATTCCTGGAATTTATTATGACGCATTTTGTTAATTGAAAACTGATAAAGTAAATCAACACGATTTAATACGAAATTTCTTATCATGTTTGTTATCATTAGTGACCTCAAATTTGCACATTATTAACCTTTTTGTTTTGTTTACAGATGGCTTTTATTGATCACGCTGGAAAATGAAGAACGGTAATCTCCCATCTATACCTATAGCATTAAATCTGTCGTTTGCAAGTTAATTAAATAGTCATTAGTTAAGTGTTATTTTTACGAATTCCTTATTTGCCATGAGTTTCCTTTTGCGTCAATGTTTAAGACGTCATGAATCGTAAATAAGGCAAATAAGTAAGAAAAAAGCAAATTCTTGTATTATTTTCCCATAAAAAGATTTTTAACATGTTTTGCGCGTTGATCAAATTGTAATTAGAATTACTCCGTCGTGCAATTGCGTGTTGTAATTGTGGGACTACTTTTCCTACGCGGCGTAGGAATACGTACGTGCCGATGACGTTGGGTATAAAAGCAAGTTGGTCGATTTCGCGCATTCACTTTGTGCCAGACAGCGATAGTGATTGTTTGTTGGTTCGAGTGCACTCAAGACGTCGCCTTCCGCTCCAGAAAAGAAACCAAGTCGCACAATAGCAATTCAGGTGTGTTTTCTAACTTTGTCTTACCGATTGCGACAAAAATCTAACATTTTTCGTTGGTATTATGGGCGTTGCTCTCATAAATAATAGAACCGTTAACAAAGAGTCAATAAATGATTGGATTAGTAAAGTCAAATGCAAGAAAATGTCATTAAAACGACAAAAACGTAAAAATTTATTTATGGAAGCCATTTTAACACACGCCCTTTATAAAGCCGAAATTGAATTGAAATCCAAACAACAGCAACGCTTGCAAAGATGGCGGAGCATCAAGGCGAACGTGACGCATGTCGATTTTCGGAATCAATCTTCACCCGTACACGTTTTGGATTGCGAAGAATTATATAGTTTAAATCAGTTTATGTCGCAACTAAAAGACATTAAATTTCCTGTAGAAAGATGATTTACGTGTTAACCGTTCAAAGCAAAAATCTGTGATGCATTTTTCTATTCCAGTACATACTCCCATGAGAATGTCTGAGGCTTGGGGGTCGTAGTCGTGATCGTGGAGCTCATCATTTGGTTTGTAAATGATTTTTGAGTTTATTTAATTAATGTATATAGTATTCCTAGTTTTTGATCTCTTGTAATTACTTACTTAATTAAAAAAAAATAAATTTGTTCTCTACTTTGTGAATTTATTACTAATTAATTTAACTTTACATGTGAACGGGAACTGTCCCGACTCCTGCCAGCTGAGAACTCCATATTACATTAAGTAGCTGCGAAAATGCGTGCCGAACTACAATGGTGTCCCGATTGTCCTTGATAAATTCACTGAAGTATTGGTGGATTCCACTATCTCATGTGGAACGCTTACGGTTACAGTTGAAAGGCGGTAACACAAAAGATTTTTAGTCTTCTTTAATGCATGTAAATTTTATTGGTTATCGTTTCGTTCTAAGCGTTTTAACTTGTAAACTTTACATGGATTATTGGTGTAACTCGAGTATTCTTTGAACAGAATTAATTGTGCATGTTATTTACAGGAGTGTATGAATGCCTACCGAACACCAGTCTGTAGTTTTATGTTAGTTCCTGGTGGGAAGGTGGTGTCGTTCACTCACTGAAATGCTGCACATGAATGCGTGATTTAGTACTGTAAGCCATACTTCCTTAGGTGAACCGTTCCTGAAATGTAGATACAAGCGTCATGTATCTCACTGTAAATGAAATCTCTCTCGCTCCAATGCGTTACCATCCTCGAACGTCAGCATGACATCGAGTAAGCACAAGTAGTTCGATTTTAAGCATGTTTAAGGATACCGTAAAACGTTAACGAAATATTACAGGTATGAGTATGTTGTTGTTTTAATTATGTTCTTAGGAAAGACTGCCCCATCTAACCAACTGATGGCGGTTTAATCAATTTTAAATAAACTCCTGTACTCTGGTGGGCCTGTTATAAGGTGCGCTACACTTTGCTATTACTCGTTATGAAGACCTTTATTACTTATCGGACGAGGAGCATTACCTACAGTTACCAGGTAACTGCAACCTCGACACATTTTTTTACAAAAGGAAGAAAAATGAATTTTTTCGCTCAAAACTCGCCTTGAAAGTTACGGAAGCTGTATTCTGAGAATTTTGGAGGTGCAACATTTAGTTTGGTCAAAGTCTATGGGTAAATACAGTATTTTAATGCGTTGTTTTAGTGAAGGGTAAGTGTAGTCCAAACCTCTTGCATGTTGTCGGTTCTTTAATTACTTTAAATATGAAAAATCATTGCTGAACAATGAAGACCAATTTGAGTTCATACGGTAACTCCGATACCTATGCAAAAAACCCTTCTATTTTAGCAATTTACTTCGCTTTCATTAATTGATGTTTGAAACCGAACTGAATTATCTCTGCACCGAAGAGGAATACGATCGCAATTATCCCAGCAAAATTCACAAGGTAACTAAATAAAAAAGTTACCTTTTAATTTTAGCGAATGAATGCGCCACCGTTATTTTTTAAAACAGTTTGTCATTGCTTATTTTCCAAATTACTGTTTCTTGGATTGGACGCAGTCAAGATTTGATACATCTCTGCTCTTTGCATTCAAGATGTTTTAGGAAGGTCTCGCATAATCAAAAATTGATGTAAAATTTCTAACCAGATTGTGCTTCAAATTCAATTCACAGTTACAATTGAAAATCACAAGTTATTGTTAATGATTTTTAATTATTCTACTGAAATGAATGCAAACTTGTGAAGACATCAAAGGATTCTTAAATTGTTCACGGAAGCACGAAGTTCTATTTTTTATGGCAAATGAAACTATACTTTGGAGTCTGATGGTATTATTCAACTGCAGTCTCAATTCTTTGCGTTAGTTTGAGGAAATTTTTAATCATATCACGTCTTCAATTTGAGGAGGGCATTTTATTGCAAATACAGGGTATGTACCTCTGCATATTTACCAAAGTTATTCCAGAATCGGAAATTAAATCAAATCAACAATCACAAGGATGACCAACAAAAAAATTTTTGCATCTGTATCAATCGATTCACTTTAAGTCAAATCACACTATATTACCACTTGGTATCCTCTCGCAGGAAAGCAACCACAAGTAGGTAATTGAACATTGGGAACTAACTCATATTTCAGATGCTACGGGAGCAATTTATTCTTGTCTCGAAATATCATTTTATCGTTTTACATTGCACAATTATAAACATACTTCAAAGTTACAAATTCAACAATAAGTAGTAATTATAACAAAACCTGGGAGAAGCAGATGGACCGAAGATGAATAGGTAATGGTGGTATTTCATTTAATTTGTTGTTAGTGTGTACACTCTGCTCCACTTTTGAGCGAACCAAGTTTATAAACGAACAGCTGCACTCGCCTACAAACTGCAGTCATCGGGAGTTCATCACGAATAAGAAAGGTAATGGTAATAGTTTGACGACATTCCCCTTGGTTGTAGATTATCGCCTCACAAGGAGTACATGACTTGACATTAAATGTGGCAGCATTTAGAGCGTAATTATAATTGGCAGTGCAGATGTATTTCTATCAAGAAACTGCAGTTTTTACCACTGCCCAGACAAATCAGATTGCTTGATCGGCAGGTTATTCATTTTTCCTTGAAAATCGATGAACACGGATCCCTGAAAAGAGTGCTTTTTGGGGTAACTACAATTTTTTTGCTTAATTAATTTTATTATAGAGAAAAATAGTCATTGCTATCATTTTATTCATTCAAATGGGGAATAATATTAGATAACACGGAAGCATACCTTACATTTCCAATGTACAAATGCATCAACATGTACCCCTTGGTGCCGTTACAAAGTGGCGTTATTTGCCAACAGTCTGCTTTTCATGGAATATCGGATCAGGAAAAAATATTGAACGACTTCATAAATTTATAAATCGAGCACTTTTTCATAGTTCAATTGTAGACCTTCATTAAATTTGCGAATCTCACCCGAAAGCTTCAAATTAGCAACATTAGAATCGAGGAACGCCAGATGAAGATTCATTTTTTTCCATTGGGTAACTACAATCATTTTCCATTAACTTTTCTTTATAGAGAAGAGTATCATTAACACAACACATTCGTCCAAATTTTTGTTATCACCAAGTCTGCAACCAGGACGAAGAAACAGTTTTACTTTCGTGCATAGATATAACATTAAAAGATCGGAAAAATTGAGATCCTTGCCATCACCTTCCAAACCAACCAATTTCATGAAATACAGGATCGTGTGAGAAACACTGAAGGATTTCTGATAGTCTTTTCATCAGGCCAGTTTTTATAATTCCATTCTAGATGTACAATACACCTTTCATTAATTCCAGTCCAGTCGAGGACAGAAAATGCACATTTTTTTTTGGGTAACTACAATTAGTTTCCTTTAACAATTTTATTGTAGAAAAATCACTGCCGCTGCCATTCTGCACATTTCATTTGTTCTTATCGTGACCTACATAGCAATGCAGTCTACTGATACAAAATTCCGTCGATCTCCCAGTGAATAATACCGTACCCTTCAGCAGTGATAAAACATTGGAGCGAAGAACTAAAGGATTTCTTAAAGTAGCTCATGTTAAAGCACCTTTTCTACGTTTATATTGTAGACCATTATGAGGCTTCATTTGTAAAGACCATAATCAAGTCAGCACTTCGAAATTTTCGCAAAATTAGAGAAGAGGCTAAATCCAATCGCCATTTTATTCAACAACTCATGTGAAAATAGCCTACATACTTGACAGAACAAGATGACCCATCATCGCTTTTCTTCGAACTAGATTTGGTAGGATCAAAATCGGTACATGGGCAAGAACAGAAAGATCAATTTTTGAGAGTGAACAGGACCATTTTATCCTAGTTTGGTAACATTGTTTAACTTCACGTTTTACAGAAGCAAAAGAACACTTCAAGGGTTCTATTAAAATTTTTCTTTTGAAACATTCTTGCGAAGACATCGAGATTGTACGCTTGTGCTTCACCAGAGAGAACATATGGAGGCTTCATACAGATCCACTGCTTGTCGACAGTTTCATGGGTAATCCTCCAAATCTTTGGGTTTTCCAGAACAAAAAGAGCATTTTTGAATATTCAGCTTGCGAGACGCTTTATCTCAAGATGTGGTAGAAGCAAAATGTACATCCATAACTAAGAATGGACAGGACTATCTTATTACTAATGTTTTGCGTGGAAGCATTTTTTAACTACACAATTTCCAGAACCAAAGCACTTTTGACAACGTTTTCGTCTCCAAATATTTTACAGAGCGAACCGTTTCATCGATCATCTCTCTCTTCGCTCAAACTTGCTTTGACAGAACCAAAATGAATTTACTATCAAGAGACAAAGATCATCATTGAAAATCAGGATTTCTTTATCATCGTGTGGTACTATTGTCTAACTTCACGTTTTACAGAACCAACAGAAAATTTTTGAGAGCTCTACTTTAACAAATTTTAACATGCTCGCGACGTTTTACGGCAGCAAAAGAAGACCTCCATTGGGTGTTGTAAATGATCCACTGCTTGTCTGCCACATGGTAACCTGTTCTTACTTCCAAATCGTCATATTTTCCAGAACCATATGAAGATTGTTATGTACTGGTGCCGTGAAGCTTCATTCCGCATCTTCTCTCTTTGTCAGAACAAAGAAGCATACAGATCACAAACTCTCGGTCATGGGGAGCGAACAGGACTATCTTATCATTGTTCTACATGGTAGCATAGTTTAACTTCATTTTGCAGTACCAAAACGAGCGTTATATCCGCGAATCGACCTCCATCCCCATCATCACATTTGAACTCTATATGGAACCAGCATCGTTGAATGTGAAGAATGATATTTCTCTGTCATTCAGAAATAGCAAGTCTTATTTGCTGGATGCCATTACTGAAACCGCCTGTTCCAGAAAGACTAGAACATTTGCGAGTAACTGCGTGTCCTCCAAAGTTGTGCAGAGCCGAACGTTTTGTCATTTTTTTTGCTGAATCTAGATGAATGCATCAAGGTGCCGAGGATGGATCTTTCATCAAGAACAAACAGGACCACTATCGTTCTACCCGTTAACGTTGTTTAACTTAACATTTTCCAGAACCAATAATTTCGGTCATTCCGGTTGTGGAACATCAAAATATTTTATAAATCCAAGATTTGTTAATCACAGATCTCTAGGAGGCTCCAAAAGGACTCGACGGCTTTCAGTCGTTATTGTGGGTTTCCTTACTTCCAATTACCAATTTTTATGGAGTTGCTCGGGGTCTTGTGATAGTGCCAACACTGAACATCATCATTGAGAGCAGTTAACACGAAATCTTGTGTCATCGTCTTGCGGGGTAACTGGCCTTTCAATCCAAATAGTTGCTATATTTTACAGACCCATAAATCAGAAGAGACGGTCTCTGTCAACTCCTTCGCACCAAAATCCATTGGAAGATCTACTTCGGGAACACTCGTCATTCAATTGGGTAAATACACTATTGACAAATAGTCGTATATTTTACAGGACTAAAGTGGTTAAGAAACCCCACCGTCATTTCTCTGAACGAAAAGGACCTGATTTTTAACAACAAAGACGGTGCATCAGAAATTTTCGCGCAGTGTCCATATGGTAACTTTTCCTTACCTTCCAAAGTGGAATGATATTTTACAGAACTGACGGAATTGGGGAGAAAAAGCAAATCGTGTCTGCATCAATATCCTAACCCAACATGCACACTATGAGGATAGAGACAATCTACACTTCACCAGTGTCATGGTACGGTTGCGTTCTTCCATTTGGATATTTTGTTTCACAGAACCGAAGGAAATTCGAGTATCTGCATTTGTACCGCCCTCTGAAGCTCATTATCTCGAGTTCGTTTGTCGAAGATGATTTCGGCCCAAAGAATGGTAGAATAGAGTCCAACTCGCTACTAGGAACATCTAACGTGGTAACCTTTCCTTATCTTCCAAATGGGCTTGTATTTTACAGAACTGAACTTTTCTCTCGTTACGATTTTAAGAAGTTTTCGGCTTGATCTTCCCTTTAGAATAATTTGGAGAAGAAACCAACACCCAACATCCTGACCTTTTTGGTAACTACACTATATTTTGAAATAGTTGTATTTTACAGAAGCAAAAACTGTTAAAAACCGCAAGATTGCATGGTGGTAATTATAGTTTCACTTATAATCGAGAGCTCACGTACTCTGCAGTGATAGGTCAGTGTATAGTGAAAAGTTAGTAGGTATTTAAAGTTTCTTTGTCAAGCTGTCGTGGTACTTCTTCAGCATGTGCCATTTGTTTTTTAGAATTTCGGCTTTTATAACCAAAATCCTATTTGTTAATTCTAATTGTTTTACCATGTATATTACTTTGTTAAGTTTAGACCATAACCGCCAAACTAGAGCACACGAGGACACTTGAAGCTTCCACATAGGCTTTTCTAACCCATTGCAAGCACGTTTTACTTGCTTTCTTTGGAAAAGTGTTTTTAATTTTAAACTATATTTGTCACTAGTTTATATACTTTCCGTACAATCTATTGGATTTTTGCATGTATTTGGTATTGTTCAAAAGTAATTGTTCTATTCAATGTTTAATGTTACTTTAACATATATTTCTGGTTAAGGGTTTGCATGTAAGCCAACGAATTGTTTTCATAGTGGTTTTAAAATCTGAATGTTCTGTGAAAATTTCCTAATATTGTGGGACACGCTTTGTGAATATGCATGCTAGTTATCCGTGATTTGTGAAGTTCAAGAGTTGTGTTTCACTGGTGAGTTCATTTGTCCACTTTTACCAAATAAGGGCGTACTTAAGTCATCACTTCTAAACTGCTTTTGAAACGATCCAATTTTTCTTGGAATCATAGGAAGAAAAAATCAACTTTTACATCAAGTAAGTTGTTTTCATTTCTTGTTCATGTTTATTTAGTATCATCTTGCAGCTAGCTCATTTCGACTGATGTGGGAATGGTTTTTTCAAGCCTCCGCCTAGTCTTCATTGGAAGAGTTACGTCCCGTGCAATAGAAATGGAATTACAAATCTTAGGTTTGTATGCTCAACCAAATTTTTTTCATAGGATGTTTCAACAACTTAAATATCAGGTTAGTTGGCGCACATAATCTGGCACTGTGTTCCTAATGTTCATTTTTGATTGCAGCATTTGCATCAAAAATAAAATGCCAGTTCATTTGAACGAAGAGGAAACAATTCACTAAGGAAGAAGAAGAAAAGGATGTCGCAAGATGCTCAAGAAGAATGGAATGAAGATGATTGGCTGACATGAAGATCGTTTCAATTTAAATCTGATTGATTTGCGTAAATCTTTTGAATGCCGACTGCCCATTGGCTTTATTGTTAAATGGATTAGAACAACTGGATTACCTATGGGCAATGCTGATTTTGCTGTAGGAAGAGGAATCGACGTCGAGGGATTAGTTTCAAGGATGAAGAGGAATGGGCACATATTTGTCTGGGATGGAGACGATTTGATGAAACTGGATTGGAGAATGGTTTCCAAAGAAGAGGTCAATTGAGAAGAATGGAAGAAGATTCGACCCTAGTTTCCTGAAGAAGAGACAACATGGACTGGTAAGAAGTTCGACGGCGGAGATTTGACAAGGAAGAAGTGAGGTGACTGATGGAGTACAGAATTCGGCGTGGGACAGGACTACCAAATGGAAGATTCGACATGGGACGGCGTCGCTTAATGGAGAAGGGGATTTGGCGTGGGCCAGCAACCACCAAATGGAGAAGAGGATTTGACATGGGTCAACATCACCAAATGGAGAAGTTTCAACGTAGGGCTATCGCCAATTGGAGAAGAGAATTAATTTCGCATGGTTTTGCATAAACGACGAGAAGAGGATTGGATGTTGGGTAGCACCACCAAATGGAGAAGAGGATTGGACGTGAATCAGCACCGCCAGATGAAGAGGATTTGAATGGGCTAGCACCACCAAGTGGAGAAGAATGATGGACGTGAAACGGCACCACCAGATGGAGAAGAGGAACTAAATGTAAACGTTCTATGTGGGATAGAATTGCATGCCAAATGGAGAAGAGGAGATTAGCCAACGCCGACAAATGGAGAAGAGGATTCGACGCGGGACAGGACTGTAAAATGAAGAAGAAATTCCATGTGAGAGGATTGCCTGCCAAATGGAGAAGAGGATTCGATATGGCCCAGTGCCGCCAAATGGACATGAGGATTCAACGCGGGACAGCACCACCAAATGGAGAAATTCGACGCGAGAGTATTGCCAACCAAATGGAGAAGAGGATTCGATATGGGCCAGTGCCACCAAATGGAGAAGACGATTTGACATGGATCACCGCCGCCAAATGGAGAAGAGGATTCGACGCGGGACCACACCACCAAATGGATAAGTTCGACATGAGAGGAGATTGCCTACCAAATGGAGAAAAGGATACCACATGGATCAGTGCCACCAAATGGAGAAGCGAATTACACATGGACCAGTGGCGCCAAATTGAGAAGAGAATTCGAAATGCGCCAGCACTGCCAAATGAGGAAGAGGATTCGACGCGGGATAGCACCACCAAATGAAGAAGTTCAACGCGAGAGTATTGCCTACCAAATGGAGAAGAGGATTCGATATGGACCAGTGCCACCAAATGGAGAAGACGATTTGACATGGATCAGCGCCGCCAAATGGAGAAGATTCGACGCGGGACCGCGCCACCAAATGGAGAAGTTCGACATGAGAGGAGATTGTCTACCAAATGGAGAAAAGGATTCCACATGGACCAGTGCCACCAAATGGAGAAGACGATTTGACATGGATCAGCGCCGCCAAATGGAGAAGATTCGACGCGGGACCGCGCCACCAAATGGAGAAGTTCGACATGAGAGGAGATTGTCTACCAAATGGAGAAAAGGATTCCACATGGACCAGTGCCACCAAATGGAGAAGACGATTTGACATGGATCAGCGCCACCAAATGGAGAAGATTCGACGCGGGACCGCACCACCAAATGGAGGAGAAAATTCTACATGGAGGACCAGTGCCGCCAAATGGAGAAGAGGATTCGACATGCGTCACCGCCACCAAATGGAGAAGAGGATTCCACACACCACCAAATGGAGGAGAGAATTCTATATGGAGGACCAGTTCCGCCAAATGGAGAAGAGGATTCGACATGCGTCAGCGCCACCAAATGGAGAAGAGGATTCCACACGGGACCGCACCACCAAATGGAGGAGAGAATTCTATATGGAGGACCAGTTCCGCCAAATGGAGAAGAGGATTCGACATGCGTCAGCGCCACCAAATGGAGAAGAGGACTCGACGCGGGACCGCACCAACCAAATGGAGAAGAGAATTCCATATGGACCAGTGCCGCCAAATGGAGGAGAGGATTCGACATGCGCCAGCGCCACCAAATGGAGAAGAGGACTCGACGCGGGACCGCACCAACCAAATGGAGAAGAGAATTCCATATGGACCAGTGCCGCCAAATGGAGAAGAGGATTCGACATGCGTTAGCGCCACCAAATGGAGAAGAGGATTCGACATGCGTCAGCGCGCCAAATGAAGAAGAGTATTCAACGCGGGACAGCACCACCAGAAGAGGATTCATTATGGACTACTGTCGCCAAATGGAAAAGACGATTTGTCATGGATCAGCGCCGTCACATGGGGAAGAAGATTCGACGCGGGACAGTACGTACTACCAAATGGTGAAGTTCGACGAGAAAAGATTGCCTAAATACAAGGCAGTGCCACCAAATGGAACCATTTGACATGGATCAGCGCCGCCAAATGGGAAAGAGAATTTAACATGAGAGGATTGCCTACCAAATGGTGAAGAGGTGTCTCGACATTAGCCAACATCGACCAAGTGGAGTAGCTTTTGACAGAACTATGGTAGGAAGAATGAGAATGGAAAACTGAGTTTTATGGGCCAGCACCATCAAATGGAGAAGAGAATTAATTTGGCATGGTTGCATACAATTTGTTTTTACTACTGTAGAAAAAAAATGGGAGAAGTAAAGGACTTGACGCGAGATAAAATGGAGAAAATCCAGATGCGAAACAAAACCACCAAATGGAAGAGAAAATTTTGGAATGGATAGTATGCTGAACACGCGACTGTTGGAGACCGCTTTCCTCGCGATAGATTTATTGCTTAATGTTAATTGGCTTGTTTTGTATAACTATTTTTTTTTAATTTACACCTATTTAGAATGTTTTATGAAATTGCTCAAGTATTTTCATTTTTGTATGTTATGTAGTGAATTGAAGTAATTAAGTATGAAACTTTCCAATTAACATTTGGATTGCTTTTTGAATTTGAAATAAATAATCTCAATCTGGCTCTTTTTCATATTGTGGAGTGACTTTCTGTAAATAAAATTGCTAAAGTTTGGTATTCATGTTTAATTGGCAGGCAGGTCATACATTGATGCGAAATAACACTAAAAAGACATTTGGATAAAGTGACTTTACAAAATCACAATTTAGCTACATGCATACTACAAGACTTGGAAATTCAAGCTCAAATTACACAAGTATGATTGATTATTATTTATGGAATTTAATTGAAAGCCCCAAGACAGATTTAATCCGCTTGCTTAATAAAATGCGATCAAAAATGAGTTGCTGTCGAGTCGCCTTTGGAATTTTTGTTTGCATGGGAATTCGTATTTAACTTGAACTTCCAAAGGCGACTCGACAGGAACTCATTTTTGATCGCCCGTTATGTAAAAAGCTGGCTAAGATCACATCGATGATTAGTGGATGAACGCATCAAAAAGAAAAAGAGTGCAATACATGAACTGTTTTCTCGCGACGCAGCGGTTTAATTAGCTCGCTTGGAGGCGCGACGTGCAGCGGCAAAATGTTGCTTCCAAAAGTTCTCATTCTTCATCTTTTCAAGTGCATCAGTATTCACTCGCACGCAGTGTCCTACGTGAGCGGTAACACGCGGTTGTCGCGACTATATCAAAGCATGATAGTTTATCCTGCTGTGCCGCCTCAAAAACACTGCACAGCAGGTTAAAATATTTGATATTTCCGCGTCTGCCCCTTCAGTCGAACATGTGTCTGCACTACTTTATGAACTGGTCGCGTTTGCCGTTTAAAATAAAAAAAAAGAATCAAGAGAACGTAAAACCATAAAAAGTTTCTAGTAATTTACATTGTTTGGTACAATGGCCCGTATGAATAAAAGTAAGCAAATGCTCATACTTGCAAAATTCAAACAGCGCTTCTAAGCAGAAGGACGACGCATTGTCTAAAATCTTTTGGCAACACTGCACTGTCATGGCAGATTATGTTACAGTATCGTTTGCCGCTATTTTGGCGTTCCTAAATTTTATCAAGGGAATAGTGATTTTGCTTAGAAGGTAAGTGCACAAAAGAGTGTTTATATCGTTTTTAATTCATTATAAATCCTACTTCTTGCGTTTATTTTATTTTGAGACTATGAAATTAGATAATCTTTAATGGAAATACGATTCTAACCTATAAATTTGAAAATATTTGGGGGGTCAGCTTTAGGAACAAAATAAAATGCATTGATCTAGTAGATAACACTTGGGTCATCTATAGGAGCAAACGAATAAATATATATACATGTCTTATTTTAATGTGTTTAACCTAATATTTGTATCTCTGTTTAAAAAATAGCTATAAATAGATAATGTCCTATAGGTGACCCCTGTGTCACCTTTACGTACAATACAGATGCAATGCCTGACCCCTCAATATAATTTTTAATTCCATGGAAAAAAACATCTTAAGTACCTACTTGTACTTAGTTTGATTAGATATAAAGTCAATTTTAATTTTTCACAGATGGCCACCAAAAAAATTTTGGGGTATCCAGAAAGCTCTATGACAAATGCTCTTAATTAGTGCAGTTAGAAGTGGTATGCCTGTTAAGACAGCATCAAAGACATTCAAGGTTCCCAAAACGACATTACTTTATAAATTTAAGGGTATTAATCCGGAGTCTAGAAAAATGGGGCCTGCTACAATTTTTTCAAAAACTGAAGAGGATCTTCTTGTTACGTGGATAACATCTATGGCAAAAAGTGGGTTCCCGATTTCCAAAGACATTTTTTTATCCAGTGCTTCGAAACTAGCCAAAGAGCTTAAAAAAAACTTCAAAAATAACATGCCCGGCCGAAAGTGGTACGAAGGATTTTTACGTCGACATCCCGAACTAAGGCTTAGGGCCGGTTGTACAAGTATAGCTTAAGCAGAGTTTAAGAATTAAGCTGAGTTTAAACACAGTTCAATTTTTTAGAGTGTTGTACATACTTCACTCAACAACTAAACGCAACTTAAGTTTTGTTTTATTTAAGCAGCCGATTTTGTTGGTTTAAGCTTAGTTTTGGTTCTTTGCGCATAGTCACCGATTTGTTAGTTTTGTTAGGTTATAATTTTATGTAATACCTGTTACCATTGATTAACATAATCAATGCTGTTACCCTCCAAATTGTAATGGAGTTGCATGCACTAACAGATGATGAAGATTTCCTAGAAGTAATTAATATAATTGGACGCAGAAGAGCAGCAAAGATATATAGGCACCGAGATAACCACTTTACAAAGTGGAATGATAAGGAATTTTTAAATAGATTTAGGTTATCCAAAGATTCAGTTCGTTTTGTAATTGATTTAATACAAGAAGAAATATCACATCCCACAAACAGGTATAAAAACGACCCTATAGTGTAGCTACCACCCAACCACATCGTATAATTTCGTTACAGAAACTTTGCAGTAAGTGCCGAGTGTATGGTATTATTGGCACTAAGGTATTTAGCAACTGGCTGCTTTTTGTCAGTTGCAGGCGACTTTATTGGCATCGATAAATCTACTGCAAGCAGACTTACTACAAAAGTCTGTCGAGCCATTGCCAGTCAACACCGCATTTTTATCAAAATGCCTACCACAGAGGAAGAAATGAGAGAAAGAAGTAGAGGCTTTTACATGATTAGTCGTTTCCCCAAATGCATTGGTGCTATTGACTGTACCCATGTGAAGATTATATCCCCCGGTAACAATGCTGAGATTTTTCGAAATCGGAAAAATTTTTTTTCTTATAATGTGCAAGCTGTTTGTGATGCAAGCCTGAGGATTCAAAATATTGTATGCAGATGGCCTGGGTCATCTCATGATAGCACAATATTTTTACATTCTCAAATAAGAAATCAATTTGAGAATGGAGACTTTAGAGGGTACTTATTAGTTGGAGATGCAGGATATGCTATTAAGCCGTATTTAATTACTCCTCTAAGAAATCCGATCACTCGTACTGAAAATTTATTCAATGAATCCCAAATACGCACACGTAACCCAATAGAACGGTGCTTTGGTGTGATGAAACGCCGATTTCCCATATTGTCATTTGGGATTCGACAACGCGCAGAAAAGGTCGAGGCTATAGTAATTGCAACTGCAGTATTACATAATATAGCTAGGAACTTTAATGATGCACTGCCAGACATAAATGAGGAAGAACAAGAAGCTATTGCAGCTGCTGAAATAAATTTCGAAGTGGAAAATGTTCCATATTACAACAATGGACTAAATAATGCTGTACGTCATCACCTTATTCACGAATACTTTAATCGCTTAGCATAGTGTACAGTGTATATTACGAACAAACTTATTGTTTAACATTTTTTAATAACATATCTTTTTGTAACTTCAAAATTTCCATTTTTAATTTGTGTTCTTCTTTCATACATTCTAGTTCGAACTCAGATTTTGTCTTTTTTATTTCTAAATTTAACTTATGTTCCTCTTCCGTATGTTTTAATTTTACTTTTTGTTCTTCCAAAACACCTTCCATTCTACTCTCTTCCAGTTTTGTTTTAGCCTCTGCCCACTGCGAAATCTTCTTGTTAATAACACCCTGGGATGTATCTAAAATTTTAAAATAATTAGTATTTATAGTACATTTCTGAAAGTGATTTTACCAGTGGTGTTTACACAAAGCGCAGCTGATTTTTTTCTTTTAAGCATATTAGGTGTGTACTTTTTCCAGTTTTTATCACCTACAAATTCAGAAGGAACTTAGATTTAATACTTTATGACCAGTACCGTATACTACCATTATTTTCGATATCATCTGTTGCAGATGGTTTTACGGTCGAACTGTAGTCGTGATCGTTAGCAAACTCTACTATCATCTCTGTAACGAAACAATATTGAACCACACACACACTTGGAAGTCCTTATTTACCATTACTAACTTGCAGGTCGTCTGTTTCTGGTATTTCAATTTCAACTGGAAGTAGTAAAATGTATGTAAATTGTTTATAATGTACACATTTTTTACTTACTAGCATCCCCATCAAATTGTGATTGAAATCCCTCTGCTCTTGGGCCAAGTATATCTTTAATGCCCTCTTCGGTGTCATTTAATGGGGTGTCTTTGTAAGGACCACCCCCAGTTCCCATTGAATACGTTTTATTTTCAGACAGTTTCTTTTTCACCCTTTTCTTTAGATTTTCGAACTTCTTTTTTAACACAGCTTCACTACGGTGGCTGTCGTTTACTACATTGAACTCCCGAGCAACATTTGACCAGGCTTCGGTCTTTTGTTGGTTCGTAACCGCATCTGTTTTTTTGCACTCTAAGACATGTTCATATTGTTTTACTAAACTGGTTAATATTGCCTCTTCTTTCGCGGTAAAATTGGCTGCACGCACTTTTTTTTCGTTAGAGCACATCGTTATAAATAAACTAGTATTGATTGAAGGTTAAGTTTATTCACAACAAATATCCAATTAATTCTTTATGCGCATGTTTGCACGTTGCCAACAACAGAAAATTGTGGTTTTGGTAAACGAAGTTTGAACGCAGTTTGTACAACGAGGTTAAACGAAAACTACGCTCAAAACTTGGGCGTAGTTTAGTTAAACCATCCCTGAACTTCACACTTGTACAACCGGCCCTTAG